GATAGTGATACCAAGTCATAATAATGAAATAGTACGTCATTACTTTGAGAAAGTTTCTCATTATAATGGGCTTCCGTAGAATGACAAGTGTGTATACATATATACATCTAATCAGTTGGGTTGTGTCAGTATTACATTCCACCATGATGCCACTAATAACGATATTTTTGACCTTTATTTGATATAATCGGTAGAAGAAGAAGGTTTTAGTTTTTTTAGTTCTCACCGGGCTGAGTCTTCTTTTTTTCCCCTCTCGGTTGGCGCTCCTTGAACGCAGCACGCCTGTGATTGGCTGGTTCAGCAGCATGGCGTTTGAATGGGATGAGGAAGACACCTGACTGTTAGCTCGGTAGCTAGGAAGTAGCTCACCCCTCAAACTAGTTCAGGTCAAACAGCGAATCGACGACGTTAGTTTGACTTTCTGGTTTTAATCGGATGTCCACATGAGGTTTCGAACCCGATTCACACCCAGGACATGAGTCTGAATTAAACATCTGTCCGGAGAGGTAAGTGTTCAGAGCGATGCTAACGCTACGTAACGCAGAGCTAGCTTGATGGAAGCTAACACGCGACATTAGCGCGTCCAGGAAATCGAGAAGCAGCGTCTTCGTTTGCTCCGCCTGTTGTTTCACCAGCTTCTGAAGCTCTGCCGGTGTTTGCCGGGTGTGTATCAGCTCGACCGGGAGGGAGACGGTCGCTCCCGGTCGGCCTCGCTGCGCCTCGGGTACACCGTGTCCTCTGACCGATGCTGTCCCCGGGGTCAAGCAGAAACTGGGGAGATGATAACCAGCGGTTCTGGGACCAGACACACGATTCTCTCGTGGAGTCCAGCAGATCAGTGTGATTCATGCGACATTAGAAGTGACGGCTGTGTAGTGACACGCTGGTTTTTCTCAGCAAACGTGGAGGGAGCGTCGCATGTACACACGCACGTGCTGGTGTCCCCTGTTATTATCTCAGCAGAGGAGGTCACGTGTTTTTTTTGGACCTGGTTGTTTGTTAGTTCGCAGGATTTCGCAAAAACCTGCGGAACCGATTTGCATGAAATGTTGTGGAGGGGCGGGGCACGACACGAGGAAGAACCAATAACATTTGGACGAGGATCCAGGAAGTATTTTTTTTTTGTTTTCGTTACACAATCATTCCAGGGTCCTGAGGAAAACAAGGTTCAGGCATGTTTGAAACCCTGCGCTGACCCATAGTATCTCACTCTGGGGAGTTCTGACTCGATACTGACATTGGGTTTAAGCAGAAAAGCAAATTCTTTGACGTTGTTTCAAACAGTATTGAGGTGAAGTAACAAGACTTCCGGTTTAGCAGAATACTGCGGCTCTCTCTCTCTCTCTCTCTCCGGTGTCAGCAGGACAGAGCTAGTTTGACCAGAAAACCAACTCATCGTCCCCTCACCGGGACATTTGAGTGCCTGGCTGCGTCAGTGAGCGTTTCATTAATCTCAAATCCTCGATAACAATCTTGTACTGAGCGTTTCTGCATCGTGGAGATCATGAGATGTTAGCGTCTCTTGTGTCCAGTGCCCTCAACCACAATAAAGACTTTGCTCAGTATAACATGGAAATGTTGAAGAACCATTTGTTCGCAGTAAACTTAAATTTCCAGTCTCAAAAACAGACTTTTTAATATTTAGTTTAAACTACTTAACTCGTGACACTGTTGTTTGTTCTCTCGGGCAGGAATCAGTCGGATGAGGTCGCCCCTTCAGCTGTCAGGATGCAGCAGAAAAGAAACATCCAGATCATCGAGTGGGAGGACCTCGACAAGAGGAAGTTCTACTCTTTCGGGGTGTTCATGACGATGACCATCCGTGCCACAGTCTACCCAGCAACACTCATCCGCACGCGGCTGCAGGTGCAGAGAGGCAAGTCGCTCTACAGCGGCACTTTTGACGCCTTCTTCAAGATCCTGCGGGCGGAGGGCGTGCGGGGACTCTACCGTGGCTTCATGGTCAACACCTTCACGCTCATCTCAGGCCAGGCTTACATAACCACCTACGAGCTGGTAAGGAAGTATGTCTCCCAGTATACAGAGGACAATACGATGAAGTCGCTGGTGGCCGGCGGCTCGGCTTCACTGGTGGCTCAGAGCATCACCGTTCCCATAGATGTCGTCTCTCAGCAGCTGATGATGCAGGGCCAAGGGGAGCACCTCACCCGCTTTCGACTCAACTCTAACACGGAGAACGGAAAGCCCAAAAAACTGTTCGGCCAAACCAGGAACATTATGAGTCAGATTTTTGCTGCCGATGGTTTCCGGGGTTTCTACAGAGGATACGCCGCTTCTCTAATCACTTACATCCCCAACAGTGCTGTCTGGTGGCCGTTCTATCATTTCTATGCCGGTATGTGCCTGAAACATCCGAGAGCCCTGTGATCGTTACGCTATCTTTAAAACCCTGGAGCTCGTGCTTTGTCGTGTATCCATGTGTCTGATGCTCTTGAATATCCGGGGTGAGCATCTTTTTTCATGTGCCTAATAAAAGATCTGTGCTTGTTATGTTTCACAGAGCAACTCTCCAATCTGGCTCCCAGTGACTGTCCTCATCTGATTCTACAAGCCATGGCTGGACCTCTCGCTGCTGCCACTGCCTCAACTGTCACCAACCCGATGGATGTGGTGCGGGCCAGAGTGCAGGTTAGCATCATTTACTGAACATCCATCATAAGACAGCAGGCGTCACGTGGTCATGGAGGGCTTGTAGTTTATGGTTTCTTCTGTCTGTGCGAAGAAAAATGTCAGAAAAGAGCCTTGAAGTGCACAGTCCAGTCTGTGCAGTTATCACCGATATAATTCGTGTAAATCATGAGTCAGCTTTCTTTGTGCTTCAGGTTTCTTTGTTGTCATATCACTCCTGTAATTTGCATCACGTGACGTATCAGAGTGACAGTTTCTGCACGAGACGACAGTTCACAAACCAGGTTACGCCCTAATGAAGTGTTGCATCAAAATTAATTCAATTAATTACACATTAATTGAATTGAGCAACTTCAGATAAGTCACAATTTTTTTGGTTGCTTGTTGAAATAATGTTTATTCTCTAAATAATTAAATATCACCCAGTTGTAGCTGAGATACTCTGATACTGGTTTGTGGTTCCACATGACAACACCACACGTTTGTGTGTCTGTAGGTTGAAGGGAGGACTTCAGTCATTGAGACGTTCAGACAGCTGATCAAAGAGGAGGGCTTCTGGGGTTTGACCAAAGGACTGTCGGCTCGCATCATTTCCTCCACACCCACCGCCATCGTCATGGTCGTCGGCTACGAGACTCTAAAGAAAATGAGTTTGCGACCGGAGCTGGTGGATTCGAGACACTGGTAAAACAAACGTGGACAGACCGTGGGACATTTTCGCCCCCAGCCCTAAAGTGGACTTCCTGTGAAAGCAGTGGCTGAATTATAAGTCTCAGCCTGGGGAGCAAAATGACACCAGGCCAATTTAAACAGTTTGAATCTGCGTCTGATCTTTCACACCGACCCATAAGTTACAGATTAAAGCAACACTGTGCAACTTTTACTGAGCAACAGCGCCCTCTGCAGCCGCTCGGTGTCCCAGCTAGGAAGTGGTTTTAATGTTGAGGTAAAAAAAAAAAAAAAAAACCTGCACCAATCTCTTGGAGCTCTGACTGCGTAGTCCCGCTAACCGAACTGAAACACAATTGATAAGTGGATATTACCCACGATCCCCGGCTTCCCGAACCAGAAGAGCTGCTGCTGTGACCTGTGCGACAAACTCAGTTTAGAATTCTTCGTATTTTTAAAGCTTCCTGCTGAACTTTGGAGATAAACTCTGGTTTTTAATGACTTCTCGGTCTTTTTAACTCAAATCTTTCGTTCAGCTTCGCTCTTCAACTCGCTGGATTCCGAAGCTGCAGCTCGGTCAGTTCTGCTCACACGAGATCGTACCCATGTTAAAAGTTGCATAGGGTTGCTTTAAATATACCCATGTTGGCAGTTGTCGCTGCGTAAACAGGGTTGAAAACTGTATTATCGCTTTGTCGCTGGACAACGGAGACAAATTCAAGCAACCTTATATTTCTGTGTTTGGGGAACGCACACTGCAATCACGCTTCTGCATCTTTGCCTTGGAGAAAAGTGAAACTGAAAGCTGTGTTCTATGTTTGATAGTTTGTGCTGTCTTACCAAAGTCAAGCAAAAACGCGGCTCAAGTTAAAAAACGGGTTTTGATCAGGGTTTGGAGAAACGTCAGCGCAAACAAAAAAAACCTCTGTTTTTGTTTCCTTCCATTCGGTTTCTTTCTCGTCGCTGCCTTCGTGGTGTGAAATCACTAACAACAATGTGAGTTTTGTTTTTTAAGTGCTGAGTGAGCGGGAGGAGAAGGTGTTAGGTATTAGAATCTGCAAAATGGCAGTTACTGTGTGGTGGTTTTATTTGTCCTGTAAGTCAAAATGAATCACTCGACAAATTCCATGCACAACGTTGAGACGCACAGTGCAACATGTGATCAGCTCTTCGGTAACTTACTGTTTGTGATGTGGGGAATGGCTGATTTGGTGTAACGGTAACGACCAGGGATTTCTGCCAGCGACAACCTGGGCGGCATCAAGCAGAAATGATAGTTTCACTTATTGTGACAGTAAATGTTCGAGTGCAATAAATGTTTTCTCCTTCTCAGAAATATGTGATTGTATATTTCCTGTAAATCATGTGAATAACATGTCGTCTTTAAAATGCATTTTAACTAATTTATCTTTTGTTTGTTTCTGGGGGGGCGGGGGGTTGTTTTTTGGGATTATGACCATAATCGTGTTCGATCTTCAAAATGTCACATTTCATGTTTGTTTTTCATTTAACGTGAATATTGTTGTATCTCATGCAGTTTGTTGCTTTAAAAAAAATACTGCTTTAGAGGCTTTTGGGGGAATATAATTAATTTCGAAATAAAGGAAAACAACCAGTTTTATGTTACGTGAGATGTGGTCACTGTTTCGGGCTGATCTTTTTAAAATATAAATATTAACACGTTGCAGTAGATGTTACGTCCCACAGAAAAACAGAAAGTTACGAGGCCACTTTTACTTTGGTGGCAAATTCCCGAATCTGAAAGTTGTAGATGAAGCCATAATGTTTTCTGAACTATACACACTTTCCTCAGGCCAAACCAAGATGTGTGAGAAACATTGAAGTTCTACCTGAATACTTTGTAGATACACTTGCAGTTTTAAGTTCTAGTTTTCACGAGAACATATTTTCTTCATGATTATCTTTTAAACCAAACCACGTGTGAAAGACGAGAAAGAGCTCGGCGGGGATTCGTCAGAACTCGACTTGTGTACAGAATACATGTGGATTCACATCACGTGTTGTCTCAGTGTATTTTAATTCATCTGTTCAATAAAACTTCACGGCCACTCTTGAACCGATCGTGGGCTCTGCTGTTTTTATTTTTCTATTTTAATGAATATTTTCACATTTGAACTCGAAGAGAATCAGAACTATCTAGAAAATGGTGAAATATGAAATAAGCCCGAAACAGAAATCTGAAAACGGATGTAGCTCAACTGAGTTTTCATCATTTCCACTTTGTTCTTGAAATGCTGAATGTTTGACTCTAATAATCTTCCGTAGTTTTGTCTTGGTCAGAGAAGAGCAAAGCCTAAGAACATTATACTGAAGTTTAGCGGCACGTGTGCACGAGGAAGTCGTTGTGTGGACACGATAACGTTAACTGGAAAAAACCCCAAACATCTAGAGATGGTGTTGATATTGTGCGATGCTGACATCCTCGGGGAGTTCATTGTGCAGAGGAGAACGTCTGGGAGGAGAAAAAATGATTCTGCAGCCTGAGAAGTTCATTTGTTCTCATACGCCTACCTGAAGGTGACGCTCTGACGTCAGAGGTCAGATCTTAAGGTGGATAGGTCACCAGTCCAGTTACGTGTGTACTACAACTACAACTACTAATTTATCTGTGTATCGCTTTTTACCAAGATGATGATAGAGATGAAGGGAGCAGCAGTGACAAATGAATCGAGGAGTTATCGTCAGTAACAGTAGAATGTGTGTGTGTGTGTGTGTGTGTGTGTGTATAAATAATCTAGTTGTGCTCATTATCAACGTTCAAAGACGAAGTCAACTCAGTCAAAGTGCATCTCAAGTCAGATTAAACCAAGAAAAAGCCATAAAAGCACCAAAGTAACTCACACATGTTAAGTGTCAACAGACAGATCTACTGAGGAATGACAGAAACGAGGAGGCCCGGTGAAGATGCCGAGGCCTCCTCCGAGCGGACGCCTCCTGGTGGGATGACGGATCGCTCCCTGCTCGGCTCCGTGCATCAATTATCAAGCGGTGTCCGGAGGGCACTTTGTCGACAAGACTGATGAGACTGACTCGGCCGGGGTTAGAGGAAGGGCCTCTCGTTCTCAGGGGATGTGATGGTGGTAGCTATGGTGGTGCCAGTGTGTGTGTGTGTGTGTGTGTGTGT